TAAATTCATCTTTTTGTCCGCAGAAGGTTATTAAGGCGTTGCTGAAAGTCGGTTTCTTGGTAACCTACCTGTCAGGCCCGAATATAAATGGTTTAACGTGTTTTTCTGCATTTCGCGTAGTTACGCGCTAACTCAACTCAATATTTGGACCCGGAAATATATTTAATGCAGGAATTTACACTACTTTACCGACTTTACACGCTGACTGAGCTTTCCTGGCCACATCTACGTCCTCAAAACGTCCGTGATATGTGTTTTTACTGATCCAAAATGTCAGTATGTTCACATGCTGACATATCGTAGGTTATACACATCTAAATGTGCGTGGGCGGCAATATCACCACACCCAGATGATTGCTTTGATCGAGCACCATATAAACAACCTGACCAAGGCTCTCTGGCCATGAACAGGCACGCAACTATGAAATTCTACCTCACGCTCGCAGTCTTGCTTATCGTCAGTTTCTCTAGTGTAAATGGGTGTAAGTTCATGGTGTTTAATTTAATTCCAATTATTGATCTACATGTCAGCGGTCACCTTGCTAGAACTTCGTTATCAAGGACTCAGAATAACATTTGGCTCTGCTAAAACAAAAATAAACCAGCTACTTTATGTGATTTAATCACAGGGAAGTAGGTAAACAAGCTCCTGCAATCAGAGAGTTGTTAGAATGATCTATGTTTGCCAAATTGACACAATTTTACCATGAGATCAACCTGTCGAGGATAAAATGAAAAGACAGTTTTGTTCAAGATCACGAACTCATTGATGTTAAATAATGCTGATTTTGCATTGCAGACTGCAGAGGCGACGGTAAAATTTGTACTAAATCCGTCGCTGGCTGGTCGCCAAGGGAAGGCTGCTTCGAAAAGTACCACTCCTGTTGGTACGACTGGGAGTGTTGCAGTGGCGACTGTGCCTGGTACCGTTTCTGTCGATAAGCGGTAAATGCCCCTTATCTCACACATTCTACACACAACTATAATACCCACACACGGGACACTGTCGCTGATGGATTTTAGTAGTTTCTGTAAACTGGTCTTTTGTGAATAAATATAGAATTTTTTTTCAACGACTCTGTTTTTTGCACAAACATGGGAGCTGGAAAGGCAAAGGCGTCACCCTGTACAACTCCTTGAATTCTTGCAAACATTCCCTTCTAGAAATGGCCAGTGTATGCGCATCTGCCTTCTTGTCAGAGCAGACCAATTCCTAGATTTATGAAAGTGATCCGTATTTAAATAAACAATGATAGGCAATTGATTACTTTGTACTAGCTTCACATAAACACTGAAGCTACACAGATGCTGAAACCTTGTCTGTTAACGTCTACAGGTCGGCAAATTTCAAGTGAAGATGTGTATGAATGTCATCCAAAACGTGACAAACATGCTTTGTTTAGTAAGAGTATTCCTTGATTGTTGTACAAGCATCAACTGCCTGATAACCTAACATGTTTTTCTCGAATTGATTTGATTTCCAGGGCCTCAGATATAAAAATGTTTTACTGGGCTAAAATACTCCATGTTGAAGAAACAGAATTTCTGCTATAATAATAGGAGGAAAATGTCATTGTTCATGGAATCGGACCAGCTGCAACAACTGCATACTAAATTATTGGGACTCGTTTTACCTAAATAATTTGTATTGAATCTAGCAGACAATTATTTGGTCGTGTGGTGTGGCGACGTATAAGGGCGCGGGCATATTGGGCCACGCTGGCCTAAGTCAATCATCTGCTTCTCTGCGTTCCACTGGCATGCGAGGAAGATGGGCAGCCAATCAGAGACAGATACTTATGACAATCAGTATATTTTGAGCGGCGCAGCCAGCGTGGTGGTTCTGGCTTGTGATTGGTCAGTAAAGCCTGTTTTGTTGCATCAGTCTTATCCATACTAGGCCTCCGGTATTCTGCAAATGGCCTGCAAGGAAGATACGCAACTAAACATATGCTGACACCTATGAGAAGCAGTATATAATAGGTCTGTGATTAGTCAATAAAGCATAGTCTGTTGTACCAGTTTTCTTCGTACTAGGGAACGGATATTCTACATTGGTTTTAGCGTTAACACAGCACAGGAATGAGGCTTAGTTCAGTAAAACACCGCAAGAAGCATCATCCAAACACATTAGACCTAATTACAAAATTATGGGACAATAAGTCTTAAAGCCAGTTATGGATTTAAACAAAAATGTCTCATTTTCCCAAATATTTTCTTCAAGTATCTTAGTCAACAGATCGTGTTTACGAAACGTCTACTGTCGGTGTTTCGTCATCCTAAATATCAGTGTCATTTTACTTTCCATATTTACTTGTTCCTTTCAATCGACATTTTTTTGAGACTCGACCCCCCTCCCTATGTGCAATCTTTTTTCACTAATTAATCGTCATAGCACAAAGTGCATAATAAAATGGCATGGATTTGATAGGTTGGTCGATGAATTACAATGCCTTCAAGTAGCCCAATTCCTGATGATTCCACGATATTAATTGTGTTACAAAAAATCACACCTAGTGGTCAGGATGGCTACTTTTGCGTCCAAAGCGGTACATCTCGCCTGGCGTTCAAACAGAACGGCTTGCGTATCGCGCAAGTGGGGTCGGTGCGCGCTCGTTGTACTTGAGTTCCACTCACATGATTGCGCGTCTGTCTAGACACGGTGTGAGCAAGCGACAGGGTATAAATTCCATGGCATCGCGACTAAGACTACAAGTTTGCGTTTCATGTCGTCCGCCAATATGCTCTCTGCCCTCGTTTGCCTGCTTGCTGTCGTTGTAACCGCAACTGCACAAGGCAACAGCTCAGCATTCAGTTTTGCGGAAAAGCTTGAATTATAAGTTCCATTTCGAGCAAGGCGTTAGTAGAAATGTAGGGTCTACATTTTAAATTTTTGTTAGTTCAGAGGTGAAACATGTGTGAAAGGCCAAAAGCATTGAACTTGTTCCATAATTCCGCCCAAACAAATTAGCCGCTTCTGCTGGAAGTGCGAATGCATTTAAACAAAACTAGCCAGATGCACTTGTTCACAGAATTTTCCCAATTTTTTGCGTGGCCATTGTAGATGAGTGCAAACAATTGGGTGAAAAATGTGACCGCACGATCTTCAACCACTGCTGTGAGGACTTTACTTGCGTTCTGACGGGTTTTGCGAATGGCACCTGCCAGAGATGCCTTCCACGAGGACACTTCTGCTTCCACGACTCGGAGTGTTGCAGTGGCGACTGCGCCTGGTACCTTTTCTGTCGATAAGCCGTTGATTCCATCCACCCAAAATTACGATACTGTCACTGATTGATCTAACTAGACCCTGGTAATGCGTCATTTGTGAATAAATGACTCATAACGCTATCGTTTTTTATGTGAATCTGGCAAGATAACATGATTTAAGGAGTGAATCAACATCTCAGCCTTCAAACAAAGTGGCTGGTTAAAAGCATTGCACGGATTATATCCGCTCCAAGTCCGTTCCAAGTCTGCAAACACATTTAATAAAGGTAATGAAAAGCGGGGTCATGATATGTTGGAAAAGGGTGGCATTCACAAATTGTTAATTCACCGTATCTCTCAGTGAAATTCAATTTGGATGAAGTGCATAATTATTTGACGTGGTGAAGTAACATCGAGGCATGTTTGCCTTCAAAAATTATGCTGAACTCTGAGTTTAAATAGGTTAAGAACTCCTCTACATGCGATGGCTGTCTAATTCCGCTTCCACAATTCTATAGTTTTTAAAAGTCCAAAGTTCTCTTGTTTCGGTCGTGTGCAGTGTTTTAAGAACAGAGGTTTACTAATCACGCATAATTTTTTTTAAATTTATTTGAGACAAAACACAAATTCAAAATGGGGACCTATATTTCAATACGCCAATTCAAATTCTTAGTTAAAATACGCGCGAATTGACGAGCCGGTCAAGCATTGGTGCCGTCTAAGTAGCAGTTGGAAGTCAATCGATAAATATCGATTTCATGGCGTTTCGTGCTGTTCGCTGCACTTAATCGATGTGAAATCCATCGGACGAATGCCTTAACCAATAGGTTCAGCACTAGAAAACGTTATGCAGATGAAATCTTTTGACTTTCGAAAACTCAATTTTATCTCTGTGAAATCAGTAGCCGCGAACTCCCTCATGTGATTTTGAATGTACTAAGCCAATTGCATTTCAAGAAGTTAAGAAGTTTTGTTTCGAATGACGAAATTCGGGTAATTTAAAACAAAGAACGAGACTTCAAAATCCTTACCACGTAGTTGGTGAAGAAAGTGATTTGGTTTTTGGCACAAATTGAATCGAATCTCTTTGATTTACGCACCCAAGTTCCGAAGCAAGTCATGAAAAAGTTTTTCGAGCAGGACAACAGTCAGGAAGGCATCTAATGCACAGAACGAATTTCCACAACTTAACCAACGTTTAACGTGCAACGTGATTAGTGAAGTTAAAAAAAAACACTGTCTGATGGCAATCATCCACTGTTTAGAAAAAGTACACTCACGTGAATTAAACCACAAACACTAAAGTACGCCGATTCCACGCGCGCAAATGACGTGAGGCAGTTCGTGTCTTTCTTCAGTGACTCGGTTTTTGTGTCTAAATTCCATGTTTCACGGGGTTAACATAAGCCAAGTCTAGACAATGCAAAGACAAGCATACTTAACCGAATCTCTTTACATTGGTCGAGATTTCAGCAAAAAAGACACTGGATTGTTTCCGGAACACCGGTACACACTTATCGATTTTAGCATGGCCAGTTACTGCATTCCGCATGGCCTAACTGGTGACCTTGTCAAGAAGACTATTCAAATAAAGCAACTCTACACTTACAACCTTGCAAATACACAAGATCTCTCAGATACACACGTGATGTGCGGCGTCATTGATCAGTAAGGCCAGCATGTGGACAAACTGACATCCAAATGTGTGTAGGCGGTGACAACGCCACACACAGGTGGTCGCCTTGATAGAACCGCATATATATAAACACCCCGCACAGCACCCTCGGGACATGGGCAGGCACGCGACCATGAAATTCTACCTCACACTCACCGTCTTGCTCTTGATCGCTTTCGCCGGTGTCAACGGACGTAAGTTCGTGATGCCAAAACACTTTGTCATGCTTAAAGTTGATGAGTAAGGTAACGGAATGTGAGCTATTAAAGTGACATTAGTTGGTCATCATAAATAATACGTAATTGTCAACTGCTAATATTGCATTACAGAAAGCGGAGAACAGGGTGAAACCGGGATTATCGCCGCCGCTGCCAGAAGATGCGCTCTCAAGTATCAAATATGCTTCTTCGACTGGGAGTGCTGCAGTGGTGACTGCGCCTGGTACCGTTTGTGTCGATGAACGCTTGATGCTATTCATCACGCACAATTTACGCTCACCCCTAGTACCTGCATTTTTGACATTACCTCTGATCCAACTCTGTTCTGTTAATGCTTAATTTGTGAGCAAACGGTTGATTGCGACCATCGAACTTCTTGTGAATCTTGGTTGCTAATGCAAACCACCAGAGTCAATCGTCTACTCACTGAATTTTAGCAATCAATCGAGACAGGTGAGTGCCTGTTCTTGCACTTGTGCCTACTTGTCTGTTCAGAGGTAGCGAGTGCTGCTCCTAAAGTGCTCCTGCTGCCGCGGTTGTGCTGGCGCGTGATCGGATCCTTTCAAGTAGATGCCTTCCGCGATTGCGCCTGAGTGAAGCCTCATTACTGGCCTGACGGTGCCAATGACTCTTCCCCATTGCATTGGTTACCGTTGTCAGGCGTCTGTTCGCAGCTTACTCATCCACACTCCAGGTCACACACGTGATTGCCGTGACACCAATAAGTGTTCACATCTGTTGTTACTGACTCTCTCGTCTCATATCTCGGGTTGTGTAGGAACTGTTAACTAGAGAGTTGAAAGGTAAGCCAGCATGTGGCATCCATGTTTCTCGAGTTCCAGTCCAGGCAACGCAAAAGTAGCTGTTTGGCGACTGTAAGGTAGAGATTTGTAAGGTGGTGCTAACCAAACCACTGCACACGGCTCCTCCCACTTGTTGTACGGTTGCTTCTGTGCTCCAACCGAAAAAAAATACGCAAATTAAAAAGCAAAGTGAGTTTAACCACGAACCTGAATGCCACGACTTGCACACAGGTGAATTGTGAAGAGCAGGCACTAGTCAAGTCTGCCATCACGGCGTGAAGTCTGGTCTGGTTATCATGTTTCTCGAGTTCCAATACTACGTGAGGCCAGACAACGCGAAAATAGGTTAGCTTAACAAAGACCACGCTTGTTGACTGGACATATGTTTGATTGTTAATGCGGCGGTCATTGGATTGCTCTTTAAACACCTCAAGCATTCCAAACCAGTATAACCCGGTCTCGTTACCTGCACTCGGATCGAGTTCTACATTTCGGTGTAAAATCATTTCTGTTCGCATTAACACCACAAGTGCACACCCAATCACGTTTTACCATCCTATGTCAGCCAATCAAATGTGTGACCTTGCCAGAGGTCGGTGAGTTAAGTTAGGAGGAGGATAGTAATCGCATTGTTAGAGCACAACCAGGAATCGAAAGACGGTTGACACGTGGTACCGTCATGCCAGTATCCATGAGTGCAGGATTTTGAAATTCTACTTAGGTGATTTTAAATTCAAAGTGTGTTAAAATCCTAACGCATAAACCACATACTCGTTCCCTGGGTGCATGTGTAATCTATCAACTCTCTACTTGCAAACAGCTGATCTGAAGTTATCATGGTCGGCGCAGGGGACAACGTAGTAGCCGAGTGGAAGACAGAATTATAAGTGAATCGCATAAGTTCTGAGCAGTGTGTGCGTGTAAGTTTTTAAACAAAGGCGGCAGTGGGCTGGAAACGACGAGGGAACAATGTCTCGTGTTAATCACGACTCACTATCACGCAAGAGGTCGCATTGCGAAAAGTGGCTTGGGTCAACGAACAATCGAAAGTATGTTTGGGATTAACTAGTGAGACCCAGTGTTGGTGATCGAAGATGTTACAATGTGTGTGCAAAGTCGTCCAGTTTAAACGGATGCAATTGGGCGTTGGCGGTGGTAACACCACACCCAGATGATCAATTTGATGGAACCGCATATATATAAACACCCCGCACAGCACCCTCGGGACATGGACAGATACGCGACCATGAAAGTCTGCCTCACACTCACCGTTCTCCTCCTGATCGCTTTCGCCGGTGTCAACGGACGTGAGTTCGTGATGCTTAATTTCATTCTTCGTGATCTTTGGCTTTGCTCATCAGCGACGTTCTGTAGGTTGTTTTGTGGTGCACACAGACATGCTTAAACTTTGTTAGCGACGTCCCTCAACAACATCCCTTGGTTGTGCCTAAACGGCATACAAGTCTTGGAATTAGTAGGTAAGATATAGTAAGCAGTGATTAGGTGTTACGGAATGAACGCTGTTGAAACGGCCTGTGTTTGTCAACGTAGCGTCAGCTAGAACCGTGAAAGTATTTTGTCAGAAACGGCATTTTTTTGAAATGCTGCAAATCTGTGGTGCTAAATAAGGCTAATTTTTCATTGCAGGAGTCGACGACGAAGGTGATATTTACTATCAAATAGGTGAGATATGCTATCGAACCGGTCACGATTGTCGGTACGACTATGAATGCTGCGGTGGCGACTGTGCCTGGTACGGCGCGTGTCGATAAGCTGCTAGTGCCATTTACCCAAAACAATTAACGCTCAATTTGACTGTCCTCATTTATGATTCTGTCTCTGATCATTATGCAGTTTTCTGTTAGTGGGTGTCTATGGGAATAAATGCCAGCAGAATCTGATAGCTGGTTTATGGGAGTAAATGGGAACGCGTTGTATCGTTGTTTGAGCACCTACGTACGCAGAATATTTCATTTGTGTAGGTGCATAAACAGGCGTGTACCTGATCGTTGACTATGAAAATAAACAAGCTGATGAGTGAACAGTTCAGCTTAACCAATCAAAACGTTTCTACGACCACACTGTGTGAACCAGACACGATCTTCAAGCAGGTCGAAAACTGCCTATACTAAGGCGAGACGATAAGGCCTTCTGCACGTACTTCGGTCATGTCTTGTATTTGCGTGACAAGGCCGGTTCTAACATCACACAAGGGAAAATGACTTGTGAAATAAGACATCGAAACAAAACTTCTACGACAGCCAATCACAATGCTTAAACGAGGTCATCGATAATGAGTGGGTGCGCCTGCCGCATGTCACCGCCCAACCAATCACTGCGCACTTAGTATGAAGCTCAACCGCAATGATGCAGTGCGACGAATAGTGATCTCGAGAAGTTGTGTTCAAACAACTCTGAAACTACGCAAGGTCTGCGGCAAAACTTGTGGCGGACTGACAGCCGCCCGGCGCGTGTGCGTGCATGAAGGCCCGTGTGTAGCGATGACTCATCCCCTTTTGTTATTGATTTTTGTCAGCATTCGCCTGTTCCGCACGCGTGCTCATACGCACACAAAGCCACTTGGTTGTTTTGACATCAATAAACCGGTCGTGTCCGCTCTCGCCTCTTCTCCACACGCACACGCGCCGGGCGGCTGTCAGTCCACTACAAACTTACGCTCTCTGATGCTCACGTGATGTGCGGCTTCATTGATCAGTAAGGCCAGCAAGTGGACATACTGACAGCCAAATGTGTGTAGGCGGTGAAAATACCCTAGGTGAAATCCAAATTGCTTGAAATGGTGCTTAATTATTTGACGTGGTGAAGCAACGTGGAGGCGTGTTTGCCTTCAACAATTATGCTGATCTCCTCTACATGTAATAGCTGTCTAATTCCGCTACCAAATTTCTGTAGTTTTTGAAAGTCCAAAGTTCTCACGTTTGGTTAATGTGGAGAGAGTTGGCGTACAGATGACTAATTATCACTATTTTAAAATTTCTAATTTATTTAAGATAAATCACAAATTCAAAATGGGACCTACATTTAAGTACGTTGGTTCAAATTCTTAGTTGAAATACGCGCGAATTGACGAGCAGGTCAAGCATTGGTGCCGTCTAAGTAGCAGTTGGAAGTCAATCGATAAATATCGATTTCATGGCGTTTCGTGCTGTTCGC